ACCCCTGAATCATCCTGCATTTGCCTTTACCATCCTTGAACTGTGCTCCTAAGACTCAATATAGAACGGAGACTTGCTCTCATCTCCACAGGACAGAATGGTGGTGCACTGAGTACTACAAATAGCACCCTGGTTAACAGCATAAAAGTAAATTAACCACTGCAGATTCACATTTCATTTTACTGGCATTACAATACACAAAAAACCCTCTGTAACTATTCTGTTTAACGAATTCTCCCTCTCTGAAGCTTACACCTATGCATCTGTCCCTTGATTCATATGTGTTTAGGAGGAAGATATTAACAGAAAGCAGTACCCAAACTACTCAGTGTCACATGGAAGGCTATCTGAACTATATTCAGTGACACTATGTATGTATATTTTGGTCTCCCCTTCAATGCTGATTTATGACACGCTCTTGATGTCCAGTTCCTTCAGCCTACTGCAGTGGAAATAGATACAGAAACAGTTCATACATCTAAGTCTGCCAAAAAAAAAAAAAAAAGTGGGCCAGAATCAACCTCCAGTGTCTCCAGGTAGGGCTGGGAAAGACACCTCTGTGAAATCTTGGGAGAGCTGCTACAACTCAACATAGACAAGCCTTTGCCAACCTGCTGCCCTTCAGATGTGTGGGAGTACAGCCCCCAGCATGGCTAATCATTGCCCATGCTGGATGGAGTTTATGGGAGCCCATGTTGGATGGAGTTTATGACATCCAAACACTCTTGCAGACAATATCAACCGAGAGGCACAGTCTGACTCCCGTGTATGACAACTTTCTGCAGACTGAAGGTGTACAGGAAGTGGGTTTGGAAGAGTTTGAATAAGAAGGTGGCTATACAAAAATATTGGCTGACAAAGGGTGAGTGGGGGCTCACCCACAGATGTTGAGGGGAAATACCCCACTGCTTGGTTTAAGCGTCACCTATGCTTTGCAGTCTCTGCAGAGCAGCTCCTCTACTGCAAGGTCAATGAGAAAGACATTTCAAAGGACTTCGAAGGTCAATCAGCATTCATGCTTTACATAGCAGATGTGCCTGCCATAATTAGCACAGGTGAAAGGAAAAAGTCTTTCTGTGGATGCACAGATTGGACATGCACGACAGAGGGGAGGCAATAACCTCCTCATACCACATTATGATGCTTAGGTTGGTGTTTAGGTTGTTTCTTCTGGAGGTTTCCAAGAGTGGCAGTTCCATCTTTTTCTGCTGAGTCTCCCTTTACCACAAGATGATGTTCAGGTTTCATTGACTCAAGAGTTTTGAGAGTGTCATTCATGTAAAAAGCCAACTGCCTCTTATTCTCTTCAACCTTACCCAGATTTTATTTATCTCGGCTTTCTCCCAAATTCTAGCCTGCTTATCATAAGGAAATTGCTTGGAACCACAGTCACAGGTGGGCGTCTGTGGAGAGCCTTGTCTCAGCCAAGGGGAAAAAAAGCTTTTACTGTGCCTCCTAGGCATTCTGCTCCTTGGCTTGTCGGCTCTAATAACCAGAAGCACACTTCCTAACAGCCATACATTTCAGAAAGAACAAAGGATTGCCGTCCCCACTCTTTCAGACAGCCTTTTACATACATAGAGACTGTGAGCATGTACCATCCCACATCCTTCCTTGTAAGAGTCATTTTTCAGAGGTTTTATCATACCCCTGAATCATCCTGCATTTGCCTTTACCATCCTTGAACTGTGCTCCTAAGACTCAATATAGAACGGAGACTTGCTCTCATCTCCACAGGACAGAATGGTGGTGTACTGAGTACTACAAATAGCACCCTGGTTAACAGCATAAAAGCAAATTAACCACTGCAGATTCACATTTCATTTTACTGGCATTACAATACACAAAAAACCCTCTGTAACTATTCTGTTTAACGAATTCTCCCTCTCTGAAGCTTACACCTATGCATCTGTCCCTTGATTCATATGTGCAATATTTAACAACTGTCCATATAAATTTTCAGCTGTTTTGCAACATCCCCACTAACTCCCCAGTTTATGGAGATGGCACAAATATTTAGTCCACTCACTTGTGTCTCAGCACTCCTTCCCAATTTTCTCTCATTTGAAAGTTTATTGAGCCTGTTGTCCACAGCCTCACTGAGATACTGCTGGGAGAGGCAATTTCATCGTGGTGAGAGAGGGGAACACAACAGAGCTGATCAAAAGTGCTGGGAGTCGCTTGTTTGATGCTGAGGCCACTGCTCTCCAATGCCCCTCAGGGCTCCTTCTTTCCTCCCCATCGTATTACATAAACAAAAGAGAGAGCCTGGAGGCTCAGAGCCACCAGGACACTGATGACAGCCAGCTCTCTTCCTCCCTCCCATCTACATGTAAGGAATACCGTTCTGGTTCTGAACCTGTGCCTGATGACATAAAATGATGCAGTATGCTGGTTGAGTTGACGAGAGAAGGATTTCTAAGCGGTCACTCACAAGTTCTGCTACTCTTGTCAAGAAAGGAGAGGCTGGTCACATCCCTGTTGTCCTTCTATTCGCAGGCCTTATTTATTTATTTATTTTATTTATATCCCGCCTATCTAGTCAACTTGGACCACTCTAGGCGGCTAAGTATACTGTATAAGCTACGCCTACAATGGATCAAAAGGGGTTTATCTGACTGTGTACTAGTAATTCTTTCTAATGATATGTTCTACTTGTGTTTCTATATTTAACTGTGTTTTGGTTTTAATTGAATGTTACTCTTACTAGGCATTTTTAAATGCCTTTTTAAAGCAGAAATCAAGGACATCGATTTCATTCATTAATAAATAACCACTGTTGCTTATTCCTGACCATAGGGCTCTCCCAAAAGCAGGTTTTTGCCACAGTGCTTCTCAATGTATTTTGAAATGCTTTTTCACCCCTAATCACACAGTGCTTCAATACCACTAAAGAAAGCAGCTTTTGACCCCCTCACTGAATAGTGTGAAGATTGCCACATTTATGGCCAATTTGCACACTAAACAGGTAAATAATAATAATACTAATACTAATACTAATACTAATACTAATACTAATACTAATACTAATACTAATACTAATACTAATACTAATACTAATACTAATACTAATACTAATACTACAATGTATATATATAAACTGTATATATAAACTGACTATAGCTCCAGACCTTGCCTTCACTCTACTCTCTACCTCTTCCGTATCTATTCTGTCTGCTCCTTTAGAATACAGTTAAAGCTTAGGTAATGCCATGCCACCTTCTCACTATACCACTTTTCTTTGGGAAAGAAAGAGAAAATGAAGTTGTACACATATATTTGCCACTATGCTCAAAAAGATGCCTCTTCCAAAGCACGCAATAGATTAGAATCAGCAGAAGTTCATTATGCTCACAATTTCCAGGATTTTCAACAATAAAAAGTCATTCCCCTAACTTCACAGGATAGCACCAAGTTTTCTACTGAATTTTCCTGAATCAAGGTGAACTCTCCCCTCCCCCCCCACGCTTCCTTCTAGATAATCACTTTGGAGGGTCCCCTTCTGAAGCAAATCTGAAACAGCTACAGTCGGCACATATAGTAGTTCATATCAGTATTTCTCTCTGTAACCACAAAGTGGGTAGGTTAATGGAGAGTAGCTACTTGTGCTGCATTCTTCTCCTACTCCTCATGACTCATCTGAACAGTTGCAGTACAGTTACAAGAGTAATTCAAAGTCCAGATGAGCAAATTACGGGAAGAGAGTAGGGAATAACATTACAAAGTAAAATATCTTTATCCCCACTATTTATTTGGACTCCTGATCTTTTCTCAGTTGCCCCTTCTTTGTTATTTCACAAAGTAATCAACAGTCCCTTCTTTGTTATTTTACTGTAATCAACATGATTTGGCATTACTAAACTCAAGGGACAAGATCCTGTTTGCATCAGCTAAGATACATGGAGCCAGGGTCCCCAACTGTGAGAATAAGTCGACTGGGATTCACATATTCAAAGGAAACGAGTGTGCGACAAGACAGGAAAGCAACATTAGACATCTAATTACAAGCCTGGTATGAACAACTCAACGGTTCTATGCAACATACTCACTAGCAATGACAATGTGAATTTGCATTACTCAGCCAACAAGCTACAGACTTGAAAAGAGGAAATGCAGGCAGGAAGGAGATGAAGTACAAAGTGAGAAGATGATATTGACATCAAACTATGCTATGGACCAACAAAGCAGATGATAAGGCAGCTTTTGATTACCATTTCTTAACAGTAAGCAACAAAACAATCTTTGTTAAGTTGCCTTGTACCTTGAGTTTGATTTCTAAGAAGCCAATTTCCTTGCTGTTATCCTCTGTCCACTAACTCAGACCTGTTACAGAGTAAGATTTATCAAGGCCATCCATATATGCCACCTATGAGCCCATGGTGATTCTTCCCATTATCCTCAAGATCATTCAGTCTAAAATCATATCAAGTTGTATTACAATTTACCTGGCTTACTATCCTTTTGAAGTAGGAAAATCTGTAAGCTTCACTTCCTTCAGAAATCAATTATTTTAAGCAACCAGTTCTTTCCAGAATATGAAGATATTTATGAATTTTGTAAATTACCAAAACAAAATAACGAAAATACCCAACCGTCTGCCTTGATCAGATTAAACAATTATAGAAATTCTCAATACAGAGAGATAGTGGTCCTGTTAAAATTGAGGACTTTCTCATGAAAAAAAAAGGTATCCAACAATAGTTGAACACACAAGGGTTTAAAAGCCAAATTTTAAACAGCAAAAATGCAAAACTCTGTGATTGCCTATATTAATCTTTCCATTTTGTTTTCTTCCATATTCAGTTTCTTTTTTCCAAAGTTCCTTCTGTTCCAAATATGAATAAATGTGCAAATTTCAGAAACTGCTATCAAAAGGTTAAAAAGATCTTATCCATCCTTATTTTCGAAGTATAGTCATTCTGTTTTAAAGGAAAGGCTGAAATAAACACTGTCTTTAGACTAAGATGTGGAAAAACAAAGACGCATACACAGATACTTACTAATAGCTCCTGTAAAGGTTGGCTGCGTAAGGTCTTTTGGCACCTTCCTGTAGATGTCAAACCTGTAAAACACACCAAAAAGAAACCACAGATCTTATAAAACAGGTGGAGCACTTCACTATTCAGAATCTATAGAGCTGAATGATGCTGTAGATGTTTCCAACACCCATCATTTTCATTTTACACCAGTCTGCAAAAATATGTCATTTTCATTTAGTTATGTAAGTGAACTGCTTTTCTTGACAAGGACAGTAAAGTTTTGATGGGTGGCTGGAGGACAGAAAAAGGAAATGAGAGAGAATTCTAATTCTTTCCCATCTTTCCCCCTCCAATCCATTAAAACAGATCTCTCAAATGTGTTCAGTGCCAAGTCCCATTCACTTGTTCCACAAACCACACTGGGGGCCAAGAACACACACACCCATACAGCCCCACTCTATTTAAGCACCCTGCCCAATGTTCAGTTTCTTCCATATGACTTTCACAAGCAGCATGCAAGACAGTTGATACTTTGTTACCGCAGATGTACAGTTTGGACTGCAGATGGGCTTTTATGTGGCTTGAATGCACCTCAGCATTAAAATATTCCTTATACAGTACGTAAATAGAAACTAGCATGCCAGGAAGAATGCTGACTAGAATCTCCCTCTTTGATATGCCATCTTTCGACATAATGGGATTTTGCATGGGAGAACATTCAACCGTGCAACTCCATGTCTGTAATCCAGAGCGATACGGCTGGAAAACAGGTTTACCATCTCCTCTGTAGTGCGTGGAACATAAATATCAAGAAGACATGTGTCAACAAAGAAAAGAGCAGTGGGAATGATGAAAGCTAGTTGCAACTGGATTGTTGTGTACCACCAAGCCCTTTCCATCTTAAAATAATCCTAATAGGATTTTTGAGGTATGTGAGATGTTTAAGGAGTCGTTTGCCATTGCAACCCCACAGTGAGCTGCCATGGCCAAATGGCAATTTGAACTAGGTTCCCTGAATCAGAGTCTGACATGCTATCCACTGCAACACCCTGGCTGCAATACTTAGGGATAATTACCTACAGAGTACCACTGACATGTACAATGTCTCCGAGTGTAAGAGGCTCTTCAAAAGATGAAGAAGATAAAGAAGAAGAAGACAAAGCCCTCAACCTTGAGGAATGTAAGATCTAAATGTTGTCCCAGCAAGGACAATAGAAACTGAATGAGAGGCAGGTAGGGCAAAATTAAAACAACAAATGCAGTTGCATCTACTTAGGCATCCTTTCTTTGGGAATTGAGGAGTAAAAGGTTTAAGCCAAAGAATCTATGAGTTTAAGGAGATGGAATCAGCACCACTTAAGTGTTGCAGAAGGGTTCAGGCACATAGGGAGAGTAATTTAAGAGACACTGAGGAATTCAAGGAGTAAGGCTATGCTTTTCTCCACGTCTCTTTATGATTTCTGCCCTTGTTACCCACTTTTCCACTGCCTTCCATGCAGCAGCCACTCTAATGCACAGAAGACTACATACACTGGTGTACGTGTTTAAGCGAGGCTTCAAAAATGACTGCAGGAGAAGCACCCTTTGTCCTCCTAGGGTCAGTCTATCAGCAAAGTAGAGTGAAGCCCACTGCATGCCACACATTAGCTCCGTATAGTTTGGACAACTACCCTTCAGGATCTTCACATCTTTTCTTCTCAATCTTTTAATCTAATAACTTGCATTTCTCTTAATAAACTCTTGAAATTTCCCAGGTTTATTGGAAAATTCTACAATTCAACCAGCAGACATAATGAAGAAACTGATGGCCTAAGTATTTTCTATATTTATTCCAAATTAATAACATATTTTTAAGGAAAGGGTTTCCAATTTCTTTCCCTCTACCCTTATTAAATGGTCTGAAAAGAAAATTCTAAAACTTGAATCTAATTCTAATGATTCCATATCCCACCATATTACTTTATTGGACTGCAAAATAATATCCCTTATGTATCTTAATTGATTCGCAATATGAAATTTCCTCAAGTTAGGATGTCCCAGCCCTCCTACTTTATGAACTTTATACCATCTTATTAATCTTTGCCTTTTTATCTACATTATTAAATTTATTCATCATATTTTGCAGATCTTTTATCTTCTCTTCTGTTAATTCTATTGGCAACGTGGGTGTGGAATGGCCAACTTTAAAAACAATAAAAACATTAGGATTTGGGGAACAATTTAGAGGTGTGATAAAACAATTATATTCAGAAAATACGTAACATAACAGATATCCCTAGACTGTGGTACTAAGGGATGTCTCCTTTCCCTTATATCATTTGTTATAACTATAACATTGTTGGTAAATGTAATAAGAAAAGATAAATCAATCTGTGGCATAGGGAATAAAGATAGGGCTAAAATTATTTTATTTATGGATAATTCTTTATTAACAAGAGAAAAACCATTAAGGGTTATGCATAGGGTAAAACTACATTCAAAAGAATTTGGGAAGATAACAGGGTTACAGATAAATTGCCACAAGTCAGATATGGTGATGTTTAATTAAAATAATGAGGAAAAACAACTAATTAGGGAAAATAATAATAAGATTTAAAATTCTATTAAGTATTTAGACATAAATATATCTATGAATTTAAGAAAATTAAGAAAGCAAAACTAAAAAATTGAAGCAAGAAATAAAACACAAATTAGATGACTCCAGAATATTTAGACTTTCATGGTATGGTAGAATAGCAGTGATTAAAATGAAGAATTTACCTAGGTTAATTTTTTTTTAATTTAGGCCATTACAGAATTATCTCTTTCTTATCCATCTTTCTTCCAAAGATATGACATTGCTACGCCTTGGGTTTTTTTGGAACTACTGAAAGATATTCCTAATTGGACTTGTTTTTTCATTTATAAGGGATTAGCAGCCGGAGTAAACCTGGAAAGAGGCAATAGTTATCTTCTGTTCTGACTAGACCTGGAGTGTTTGGGGCTCATGTGGCTGTTTTGGTAATACTTCTTCCAATGTAACCCATTTAGATTGTAGGAAAGTAGCCCACAGAAACAACAAGGCAGCGGAATGGTCAGCTAGAGAGAGAGAGAGACTCCACTTTAAGGTGATTTTTAGATGTCAAATGTTTTCAAAAGCATTCCTTTCTGAAGAAAGGACAGCTTTCAGCCTTCTAACAAGACACAATTTTCATGTGTACATACGATAAACCTCTGAATAAATCACCCATTCACACAAAAACTATTGTCTCCACATGACAATATTACCACCAGAAAAAAGCCTATTACAGCATCTGAAGTTTTCAGAATCACACTTTTTAAGCAGCCTGATTCACATTTCCCATCATTTTAAATAGTATTCTTAGACAAAATAGCCCATTTATGGACCCACAGTTTCCCCGGGAACATCTGGAAAGCACTGTTTACATTCTTTCCACATGGACCACAGCAACAGCCGCGTATGATAAAGAGCTCCACAGCAGATCATGACATCATGGCCTCACAGGCAGAGGAAATAGCTAAACTTCCTGCTCAGCCCATTAAAACCTTCGTCTCACAGAAATGACAATAATGCTCTGGCAAACCTGGCAAGGAAGCCAGGAGGGAAAAGAGAGGGGCTTTGGAGTGTAACTAAATAATTGGAAACAGGAAATAGCTTTAGGCTGAAGGCAGTAAAAATAACACCATGTGGATACTATAAAAGGAAGCATGTTTCTCCCTTCTTGGAGGGAGAAACAGCTCACTGCAAGATTTGCAAATGTGTTGCCAACATTGTGGGGCCAGTGACTAAAAAATAAAAATAAAGGATGATGTATTCTCCAGAAAGAAAACAGCTTCCTCTCAATACTTTTCATTCAGTTCATCAAAATTGATTGCCATCTGTGGGCTATCAGCAGGAAAACATGGGGTGGGTGGGAAACACACATGACTTCTATTCCAAAATGTTTGTTGACTATCTTTTTATTAAGAGAAAGATAATAAAGCTGACCTGTAATCTATCAGCTACATTTATCTGCCAATCATAGTGGTTCATTTTAAAGCAAACATGTAGGGAGAGTGGATAAACATATTGCAGGCTTCTGCTTCTGTTTCAGTCGCTTCCCAACTTAGTTTTAAAACATATTTTAAAATGGGGAATTACAAACCTATGACACTGTTTCGATTTTAGGGTCAGAATTTAAAGACTTTATTGATCTGTACTTCTGGTGAAACAATCAGATTCTAAACTTCATGCTTTTAGGTTGCAATGGGTAACTTCCATTGAATGGAATGGACCAATTTCCAAGGAAATGAAGACAATCCAACACAAACAATGAATTCAAATAGAGTAGCAAATGCAATTCTAAAAGTATTCTCAAAGGCTTTTACGGCCAGGATCCAATGGTTGTTGTAGGTTTTTCGGACTGTCTGACCATGTTCTTGAGGTTTTTCCTCCTGTTTTGCCAGTCTCTGTGGCCAGCATTTTCAGAGGACAGGCGTCAGAACAGAGAGAGCACAGACAGAATTCTGGCCCCCGTCCTCTGAAGATGCCGGCCACAGAGACTGGCGAAACGTTAGGAAGAATAACCTCAAGAACACGGCCAGACAGCCCGAAAAACCTACAGCAATTCTAAAACTTTGCAGCATTGGGGACGACAACCCCCCCCCCCCGCTGGCTGGCTTGTTCTCTGTAGGGCATCACGTTTGCTTTTACTACATTTTTTTGTAGGAGATAGCCTGAAAGATCTCCATTTTAATAAAATTCAGTTCCTTCTGCTTGAGATGAAGGCAAGTGTCATTATACAGTTGATGTCTCATATAATTCCACCACAATACATGCTCAGCCTCACTAACATGTTTGTCAGTCAAAGCATTATCATTTGGGACTGTCTTTAAACAGAGATTGCAAAAGTGCAACATGTCTTATTTCTAATTTCTTTTCATAGGGCACAGAATCTGCAACACACTCATTCAGCATGACATGGCTTGAAAAAGCCTGCCATATTTTTCTCTGCTATGCTGTAACCTCAGAGATCACCACAGAACCAGCAGCATTAAGACATCACCTGAGGCCCCTAAACAGCTGAAATGATATGACAAGAAT